TATTGTCTTGATTACTGTAGCTTTGTAGTATAGTCTGAAGTCAGGGAGTCTGATTCCTCCAGCTCCGTTTTTTTCCCTCAAGACTGCTTTTGCTATTCGGGGTCTTTTGTGTCTCCATACAAATTTTAAGATTTTTTGTTCTAGTCCATAAAAAATGCCATTGGTAATTTGATAGGGATTGCATTGAATCTGTAAATTACTTTGGGTAGTATAGTCATTTTCACAATATTGATTCTTCCAATCCAAGAACATGGTATATCTCTCCATCTGTTTGTAGCATCTTTAATTTCTTTCACCAGTGTCCTTTAGTTTTCTGTATACAGGTCTTTTGTCTCCCTAGGTAGGTTTATTCCTAGGTATTTTATTCTTTTTGTTGCAATGGTAAATGGGAGTGTTTCCTTAATTGTGTATAGGAATGCCAGAGATTTCTGTGCATTAATTTTGTATCCTGCTACTTTACCAAATTCATCGATTAGCTCTAGTAGTTTTTTGGTGGTATCTTTAGGATTCTCTATGTATAGTACCATGTCATCTGCAAACAGTGACAGTTTTACTTCTTTTCCAATTTGTATTCCTTTTATTTCTTTTTCTTCTCTGATTGCCATGTCTAGCACTTCCAAAACTATGTTGAATAATAGTGGTGAGAGTGGGCAACCTTGTATTGCTCCTGATCTTAGAGGAAATGCTTTCAGTTTTTCACCATTGAGAATGATGTTTCCTGTGGGTTTGCCATATTTGGCCTTCATTATGTTGAGATAGGTTCCCTATATGCCTACTTTCTGGAGAGTTTTTATCATAAATCGGTGTTGAATTTTGTCAAAAGCTTTTTCTGCATCTATTGAGATGATCATACGGTTTTTATTCTTCAATTTGTTAAAATGGTGTATCACCTTGATTGATTTGCATATATTGAAGAATCTTTGCATCTCTGGGATAAATCCCACTTCATTATGGTGTATGATCCTTTTAATGTGTAGTTGGATTCTGCTTGCTAGTATTTTGTTGAGGATTTTTGTATCTATATTCATCAGTGATATTGGTCTGTAATTTTCTTTTGTTGTAGTATCTTTGTCTGGTTTTGGTATCAGGGTGATGGTGGCCTCATACAATGAGTTTGGGAGTGTTCCTTCCTCTGCAATTTTTTGGAAGAGTTTGAGAAGAATGGGTGTTAGCTCTTCTCTAAATGTTTGATAGAATTCACCTGTGAAGCCATCTGGTCCTGGACTTTTGTTTGTTGGAAGATTTTTAATGACAGTTGTAATTTCATTACTTGTGATTGGTCTCTTCATATTTTCTATTTCTTCCTGGTTCAGTCCTGGAAGGTTATACCTTTCTAAGAATTTGCCCATTTCTTCCAGGTTGTCCATTTTATTGGCATCAAGTTGCTTGTAGTAGTCTCTTAGGATGCTTTGTATTTCTTTGGTGTCTGTTGTAACCTCTCCTTTTTCATTTCTAATTTTATTGATTTGAGTCCTCTCCCTCTTTTTCTTGATGATTCTGGTTAATGGTTTATGAATTTGTTTTGTCTTCTCAAAGAACCAGGTTTTAGTTTTATTGATCTTTGCTCTTGTTTTCTTTGTTTCTATTTCATTTATTTCTGCTCTGATCTTTATGATTTCTTTCCTTCTGCTCACTTTGGGTTTTGTTTGTTCTTCTTTCTCTAATTCTTTTAGGTGTAAGGTTAGATTGTTTATTTGAGATTTTTCTTCTTTCTTGAGGTAGGCTTGTATTGCTATAAACTTCCCTCTTAGTACTGCTTTTGCCACAACCCATTGGTTTTGGATTGTCGTGTTTTGATTGTCATTTGTCTCTAGGTAGTTTTTGATTTCTTCAGTGATCTCTTGGTTATTTAGTAACGTGTTGTTTAGCCTCCATGTGTTTGTGTTGTTTACGTTTTTTTCCCTGTAATTGATTTCTAATCTTATAGCATTGTGGTCAGAAATGATGCTTGTATGATTTCAATTTTCTTATATTTACTGAGGCTTGATTTGTGACCCAAGATGTGATCTATCCTGGAGAATGTTCCGTGTGCACTTGAGAAGAACGTGTAATCTGCTGTTTTTGGATGGAATGTCCTGTAAATATCAATTAAATCTATCTGGTCTATTGTGTCATTTAAAGCTTCTGCTTCCGTATTAATTTTCTGTTTGGATGATCTGTCCATTGGTGTAAGTGAGGTGTTAAAGTCCCCCACTATTATTGTGCTACTGTTGATTTCCTCTTTTATAGCTGTTAGCAGTTGCCTTATGTGTTGAGGTGTTCCTATGTTGGGTGCATATATATTTATAATCGTCATATCTTCTTCTTGGATTGATCCCCTGATCATTATGTAGTGTCCTTCTTTGTCTCTTGTAATAGTCTTTATTTCAAAATCTATTTTTTATGATGTGAAAATTGCTACTCCAACTTTATTTTGATTTCCATTTGCATGAAATATCTTTTTCCATGCCCTCACTTTCAGTCTGAATGTGTCCCTAGGTCTGAAGTGGGTCTCTTGTAGACAGCATATATACAGGTCTTGTTTTTGTATCCATTCTGTGAGCCTGTGTCTTTTGGTTGGAGCATTTAATCCATTCACATTTAAGGTAATTATCGATATGTATGTTCCTATGACCATTTTCTTTATTGCTTTGGGTTTGTTTTTGTAGGTTCTTTTCTTCTCTTGTGTTTCCCACTTAGAGAAGTTCCTTTAGCGTTTGTTGTAGAGCTGGTTTGGTGGTGCTGAATTCTCTTATCTTTTGCTTCTCTGTAAAGCTTTTGATTCCTCCATCGAATCTGAATGAGATCCTTGCCGGCTAGAGTAATCTTGGTTGTAGGTTCTTCCCTTTCATCATTTTAAATATGTCATGCCACTCCTTTCTGGCCTGTAGAGTTTCTGCTGAGAAATCAGCTGTTAACCTTATGGGAGTTCCCTTGTATGTTATTTGTTGGAAAACCCTTGCTGCTTTCAATAATTTTTCTTTGTCTTTAATTTTTGCCAATTTGATTACTATGTGTCTCAGCATGCTTCTCCTTGGGTTTATCCTGCCTGGGACTCTCTGCACTTCCTGGACTTGGGTGGCTATTTCCTTTTCCATGTTAGGGAAATTTTCAACTATAATCTCTTCAAATCTTTTCTCAGGTCCTTTCTCTGTCTCTTCTCCTCTGGGACTGCTATAATGCAAATGTTGTTGTGTTTAATGTTGTCCCAGAGGTCTCTTATGCTATCTTCATTTCTTTTCATTCTTTTTTCTTTATTCTGTCCCGCAGCAGTGAATTCCACCACTCTGTCTTACAGGTCACTTATCCGTTCTTCTGCCTCAGTTATTCTGCTATTGATTCCTTCTAGTGTAGTTTTCATTTCAGTTATTTTATTGTTCATCTCTGTTTGTTTGCTCTTTAATTCTTCTAGGTCTTTGTTAAACATTTGTTGCATCTTCTCTATCTTTGCCTCCATTCTTTTTCCGAGGTCCTGGATCATCATCACTGTCATTATTCTGAATTCTTTTTCTGGAAGGTAGCCTATCTCCAGTTCATTTAGTTGTTTTTCTGAGGTTTTATCTTGTTCCTTCATCTGGTACATAGCACTCTGCCTTTTCATCTTGTCTATCCTTCTGTGAATGTGGTTTTTGTTCCACAGGCTGCAGGATTGTAGTTCTTCCTGCTTCTGCGGTCTGCCCTCTGGTGGATGAGACTATCTAAGAGGCTTGTGCAAGTTTCCTGATGGGAGGGACCTGTGGTGGGTAGTGCTGGCTGTTTCTCTGGTGGGTAGATCTCAGTGAAACTTTAATCTGCTTGTCTGCTGATGGGTTGGGCTGAGTTCCTTCCCTGTTGGTTGTTTGGCCTGAGGCAACCCAACACTGGGGCCTACCCGGGTTCTTTGCTGTGGCTAATGGTGGACTCCGGGAGGGCTCACGCCAAGGAGCACTTCCCAAAACTTCTGCTGCCAATGTCCTTGTCCTCACAGTGAGACACAGCCACCCCCCGCCTCTGCAGGAGATCCTCCAACACTAGCAGGTAGGTCTGGTCCAGTCTCCTATGGGGTCACTGCTCCTTCCCGTGGGTCCCAATGTGCACACTGCTTTGTGTGTGCCCTCTAAGGGTAGAGTCTCTGTGTCCCCCAGTCCTGTTGAAGTCCTCCAATCACATCCCGCTAGCCTTCAAAGTCGGATTCTCTAGGAATTCCTCCTCCCATTGCCGGACCCCCAAGTTGAGAAGCTTGATATGGGGCTCAGGACCTTCATTCCAGTGGGTGGATTTCTGTGATATAAGTGCTCTCCAGTTTGTGAGTCACCCACCCAGCAGTTGTGGGATTTTATTTTATTGTGATTGCACCCCTCCTACCATCTCATTGTGGCTTCTCCTTTGTCTTTGGATGTGGGGTATCTTTTTTGGTGAGTTTCAGTTTCCTCCTTTTGATGATTGTTCAGCAGTTAGTTGTGATTCTGGTGCTCTCGCAAGAGGGAGTGAGGGCATGTCCTTCTAGTTCGCCATCTTGAACCAATCTCAACATGAATAAATCTTATGTTTCATAGTGCCACACTGAGCTCACATAGTAGATCCTGAAACAAGAGCTTGCACACAGTGATGCTGTCTTGGTCAGCGATCCTATAGGGAGCAGGAGTGGGAATGTGCCAGAGTGAAACAGGATGGAAGGAAAGTGAAATCAAGGGTATGATGTGGTATAAAGCTGATCACCACTGTGGGCAACTGAGGTGTTCTCTCTAGAACTCTCTCTAAAGAGTCAGATGGAATGGACCTCCCCGTTGTCTGCCTGAGGGACATAAGACAGGAGGACTTCTCTGTGGTCCCTTCCCCACTGGTCAAGGGTGTTAAGCCCCTCCTGTTTCCAGGTTGGCACATTTGACAGAAAAGCTAAGAAGGTTGCTGCAGGTGACCCACTGCAGAGCAGAGACACCTCTGGACAGAAAGCCAGAGCTATGAAAGGCAGCTAAAGTGAGGTGCCAGAGTGTAACTGAGGTAAACGAGATGAAACGAGAGAATGAGCCTTAGGGCATGAGAGGTACACCATATGTATAGCTTTGTGAAGGTTTAGGGATTGAAATGCCTTGTTCTTCCAGTCATGACTCTCTTCTTAATTAGAATGTGATGAGACGCACGTCTTATCTTGTGTTTCTTTTAGAGTAAGAGCCTCATTGTAGAAGAAAAAGTCAAGTGGGATCCTCTGAAACTACCCACCTCCCCATCCAGCCAAGATAGTAAATAAAAAAACCAAGTCATATCTCAGAGGAGCATGGAAGAGATTAGAGCCATCTTCAAAGCTTTAAAGGATGCAGGGATGGTAACTCCCATTTACTTATTCTGGCATCTATGAAAACCAGATGGTGGATGATCATGCATTACTTAACTGTAACAAAGGAGTAGCCCCAATTGCAGATGCTGGGCTGGATGTGGGACCTTTACTAAAGAAGATTAACAGAGCCTCAAGTATGTAGTGTTCATTTGATCTGGTAAGCATATTATTTTCCATATCATTCAAAAAGAAGGACTGAAAACAGTTTTCATTGGCATGGAATGACAACAGTATATATTCACAGGATTGCCCAGGCACTATGTTAATTCTCCCATTTTCTCTTATAAGGATCCATACTATTTGGGCATTTCACAAAAATTACATTGGTCCATCATTTTGAGGAAACATGTTAATGAGCAAAATGTGCCATGTTCCCCTGATGCCTTGATGAGACATACAGAATTCCAGAGGGTGAGAAGCCAACCCTAGAAAGATCCAGAGGCCTGCCAGATTAGCATCGGTCATGCAGGGCTATCCCCTCCCAAGTACAAGGTAGGTTACTGCATCTTTCACTTCCAATCTATAAAAAAGGACACCACTTGTCAGGCCTCTTTTTTTTTTAATTTATTTTTTTATTCTGGCTGCTCCGGGTCTTAGTTGTGGCACGCGGGATATTTTAGTTACAGCATGCATGTGGGATCTAGATCCCCAACCAGGGATTGAACCTGGGACCCTGCATTGGGAAAGCAGAGTCTCACCCACTGGACCACCAGGGAAGTCCCTTGTCAGGCCTGTTTATCATTTGCTTGCAGGCTATTCCACACTGAGATACACTCTTTCAATCCATTTATAGGAAGGTTGCTAGCTTTGAAGTGGAGCCCAGAGCAAGAGAAGGCTTTGTAGCAGGTCCAGTAATAAAAGCAACCTTGCGGCTTGGGTCATATACCCCGCAGATCCCATGGTAGCAGGAGTACCAGTGGAAGAAAAGATGCCATGTGAGTTCTTTGGCAACTCCCAGTAGGAGGATCACAACACAGACCTCTAGGGCTCTCAAATGATGCCATGCCATTTGCTGCAGAGAACTATGCCTCATTCAAAATGCAGCTCCTGGCAGACTACCAGGCCCTGATATATAGTCTGAGTACCTCACCATGGGACATCATGTGACCCTGTGTCCAGAATTGGTCATCATGAGCTGGATGCTCTCAGATCCCCAGGTTCTAAGTTAGGCGGACCCAGCAGCAATGTGCTGCTGAAAGAGATAAGTGGTACCCTGGAGACAGTGCTTGAATAGGCACAGAGGCCCAAATAAACTGCATGGAAAATGACCCCAACCCCTGGGATCACCCTGCCGTTGCCCTGACTGACTTCACTTCCTCAGTTCACGCCTATGGCCTCATGGTGGTTTCCCAACGACCAGCCAGCAGAGGAAGAAAAACCCAAGCTTGGTTCACAGACGGATGAGCTGGGTGAAGTTAGTTCGGGTTGATAACGGACTGATAATTCCCATTCAGGGGTGGCCTTGAAAGACAGAGGTGCAGGTAAATCCTCTCAAAGGTCAGGCCACTTAAAAAAATCATGAAATTGTCTTTGTATACATTCACATGTTAACTTTTAAATGTATATTACCCCTACCCACAAGCTTTATATAGTGCTTAAAAATAATATTTGTATTGTTTGCTTAAGTGTCCTGGATTTAAATTACACCATCAATAATGAAAATTATTTCGCTATTACCATTAACATTGTTAGTAAGAGAGAATCAAAGGGAAAGACTTCCAAGACCACATGGAGAACATGCATGGGAAGTTAATAGGCTCTTGAGAATTTTGTTATGTTGCCTCCACAGTGGGAGATTTGGTAAGCCTTAGCGAAAGAACAAGAAGGCAAATCGAAGTAGCAGAAGGCCAGCAGGCTTTCAGAACCAGATAAATGTGGCTCTGAATCAAGGCTCTGCCACTTACTAAGTGTATGACTTTGCGAAAGCTATTTAATTTCTCGTAACCTCAGTGTCCTTCTCTGTGAAACAAGGTTGATGATACTTTAACTAGCTTCTTGAGAGGCCTGCCAAGTACAGGTGTGCAGCCTGTGAACTGCACAAACGTACCTAGTGGAGGAGGTAAGAAGGGGCTGACATCCCACTTGGGCTCAGATCCCTGGGTAGCATCTACCATGCTGCAGTACCTATTTCTAATTTGCACAAGGCCCCCTATAGGCTACTTCAGGCCTGCCTGTTGTCAGGATTTAAATGAGATCACATATGTAAGGCACCTAGTAAGTAGTAATAAATGGTAGCTGCTACTGTATTCTGTTGACTCCAAGTCCAGTTATTGAAAGCCTAAGTTAAAAATAGAAGTCAGGGGCTTCCCTGGTGGCGCAGTGGTTGACAGTCCGCCTGCCGATGCAGGGGACACGGGTTCGTGCCCCGGTCCGGGAAGATCCCACATGCCGCGGAGCGGCTAGGCCTGTGAGCCATGGCCACTGACCCTGCGCATCCGGAGCCTGTGCTCTGCAATGGGAGAGGCCACAACAGTGAGAGGCCCGCGTGCCGCAAAAATAAAATAGAAGTCAGAACCCAAGCCCTGCATAATACAAATGGTCACACAGGAAGGGCATGTCTCTGATGGAATTGGGCTTCCCCCAATGGACTCTAAAGACCACAAGGCTGGGACCTGCCTCACTCACCTCTGGATGCTCCTGGTACCACTTAATAAATACTTGCTGAATGATTGGTTGAATGAATGAATGGATGGAAGGATAATTTTACTTTTTCTGAAACAAAGTAACAGCATCTTTGAAAATATTTGCCTGGAGCTGTTCTTGAGTATCTTCCCATACCTTGATTTCAGTTTGCCAGTTCCCAGAGTTTCCTGTAGTTTTGAGGCCACTTATAGAATAAATCTAGGTCAATGTTCAGAATAGGTTGCTTCAACTGTCTTAAATTTAGTGACAGAATCCTCGAATAGTGCAACCAAGCAATAACAATCCCACAGTTTCTCCAAGCTTGGATCTTTGTCATGTTTACCATGTGATCAAACTATGTCTTTTGGCCCCTTTAGGCTACACTGATCAAACTTAAGTCTGATTTATTTAGAGTTATTTTTGTTGTCACTTTTAGACTTTTAGACTACGTAGAAAGAGTCTGGTTCCTTACGTTAAGCTTCCTGAACCATGTTGCTGGTGGGGTGACTACTACAAGAGGGAGAAATTGTCTTTGGAGACAAGTTTTTGTGGTAGAACTTTCTCTGGTTCTACCACAGACTCCTCCCCTTCTCAGCTGTGCAGTGGAGAATCAGACCTCCCTGGGGCACTGTTAGCAGCATGGTGAGCTCCAGAACAATCCTCTTGGGTGATAAAGAAGGGTTGCTGTGAGATATTATGGAAACTAAGTCTTTCCAAAGGAATAAAACTTGCACTGGAATCCAGCAAAATAATGTTTTCAGTTCAGCAAATTTAGTTTTCCTGTAGTTACCTCTGATTTAGCGTAAGTGGTCTGAACTAGCTCTAAAATATGATACGATGTGATGATGAAATGCGATAAGCCTTACTCCCGTGGGTCGTCTGTTCCGTTAGCGCTCCCTCCCTTTTGTTCCATTGTCTGGTTACATTCCTCTCTTCCTCTTACCTCACCACTGGCAGGGCTTATTAACTGGGTCAGAATTAAATTTTACACGTTGCACCAACAGTTTTAAACATTAATGAGAACTCCAGGCCCAGTAACTGTAACAGTGAAAAGGAGCTGCACAAACCTCCCCAAAAGAAGGACAGCCTCAGTGAGGATCCGACGGGCCTTTGTTCATCTTCAGAACAACTAATCTCCCTTGCTAAATTTGCCTTCCATGCAATTCCAGAGACTTCTGAATAGTTCTGTTCTTGGAGCATTTCCTTACTTGCTCCTAATATGTTTCACTGTCACAGTAAGCCAGGTCTTTTGCTGGTTTTAGTTGCCTGTTTAGAAGTTGCTTTTAGGATAGTCTGCTTTTAAAGTAATCTTTATATTCACTAAGTTTGATGGTAGACTAGCAGTATTATGTTGTCATTTCTTTATGAGAACAGGATTTCCCAAATTTAATTATATTAAAGCCAAGATAAGAAGTTTTGGGGCATTTAAGAGAGCCTATATCTGTAAATGCAGTTTAAAAATCTTTTCTCATTAAGTAAATTATATTAATTCAATTTACTTCACAGCAAAATGAAGAAAGGAAGAGGAAATAATTACGTTCTGCATAATAATTATGTTTTGGAAAGCCGCGTTATAAAATCACAAAAGATTTGAAGAGAGGGTGATACAGATTTCTTCAGATAAGGTTTTCCATTTTTGGTCTTAATAAAATAATTGATGCCTGGCCTTCTGTTCCTGATCTAAGAAGTTCTAGGTTCCCTTAATTTCAAAATGATTACGCAAGACCCTCTCCATTCCCAGAACCTTCTCATGCTCACCAAATTCTCTTTCTCGGATACTCCCGTGCTGTCCCATTAACATCTCAAATCCCATTTCTCAGATACCCCAGGAAAACAACAACAGAGAGAAGCCTTGTAAGGGAATGGCTAAGAGCATGGACCCTTATGCTAGGCTAGCTCTACCACTTACTACCTGTATAACATTGGGCAAGTTGGCTAAGCTCTCTGTGCTTCATTTTCCCATCTGTAAAATGGGGATAGTAACAGTATGTACCTCATAGAGTTATTAGGAGGATTAAGTGATTTAATCTTTCTAAAGTACTTAGAATAGTAGGAGTAGGTATTATATGAGTGTTGTTAAATAAAATTTTATCTAATAAAGTTTAATCCTGATTTTTACTTTTTCTCTCCAAAATCAGAAGGATTTCTATCCCATAAATCCAGTAGAAGAAATTGTTAGTAATTTTTAATGCCTTTTATATAAATAAAGTATCTAATAAATATCTTTATCACAGATTATAAACAAACTAGATGTCCAACAATATACAAATTGCTAAAACTTCAGATATTTAAGTGACATAATCTATTTTCAATATGTTTAAGTGAAAAAAAGTAGGTTACATAAAAATAATATGTATTATGATTCCATTTTTTAATTGAAACAATATGCATCATATACAAAGGCCAAAAAGAGTCTGAACAGACAGACAACAAAATGTTTGTAATGGTTATTTTTTGGTGATGAAATGATGGATGTTTTTTTATTTTCTTCTTTTTGAAAATCTGGATCATCTAAATTATCTCCAAGAATCTTAATTACTTATTAATAAAGGGAAACTAAAAATTAATAATAAAAATATAGTTTATGATTGTGGAAATTTATTTTCTCTCCATGGGAATCTCTAAGGAAAGTGGAGAAATATATTAAATTCCTCTAATTTAATTCAATAACAGCTTCCATAAACTGGACATTTATTTATTTATTTATTTATTTATTTTATTTTTTGGCAGCACAACACAGCTTGCAGGATCTTAGTTCCCTGACCAGGGGTCAAACCCTGGCCCCAGCAGTGAAAGCACTGAGTCCTAACCACTGGCCGGCCAGGGAATTCCCATAAACCTCAAATTTAGTAAGATTTTTTTTTTATCCCATTGTTTTTAGATATGCTAAGACACTAAAAGGTATTTTAAACAATCTTGAATTTATTAGTGTGGATCTTTTAATCATTTGTTCTCACTTTTATCTTACTTTAGTTGTGGATAATTAATGTTTGATGTTGGTTTATTTTGTGTAAGCAAACATTTAAAACAACTTATTACACTAAATTTGAGAACTGAAGTAGATATTCTGTGAATACAATAATTTTAGTTGTTTCCTGAGTTTATCAAATAACAGAAATAAAAAGTTTCTAGCATTACTTATGAGTCAAGATAGATGAATACTTAACTGGATACATTTTCCAAGAATCAGAGAGAAAAATTAAATATACCATCTTATGGAACAGAATAGGGAGCCCAGAAATAAACCCACATACCCACAGTCAATTAATCTTTGACAAAGGAGGAAAGAATGTACAAAGGGAAAAAGACAGTCTCTTCAACAAGTGGTGCTGGGAAGGTTGGACAGCCACATGTAAATCAATGATGTTAGAACACACTCTCACACCATACACAAAAATAAAAACGGCTTAAAGACCTAAACATAAGACATGACACCATAAAACTCTTAGAAGAGATCATAGGCAAAACATTCTGTGATATAAATTGTACCAATGTTTTCTTAGGTCAGTATTCCAAGGCAATAGAAATAAAAACAAAAATAAACATTTGGGCCCTAATCAAACTTACAAGCTTTTGCACAGCAAAGAAAACCATAAACAAAATGAAAAGACAACTTACAGAACAGGAGAAAATATTTGCAAATGATGAGACTGATAAGAGCTTAATTCCCAAAATATACAAACAGCTCATACAACTCAACAACAACAAAAAACAAACAACCCAATCAAAAAATGAGCAGAAGATCTAAATAGACATTTCTCCAAAGAAGAAATACAGATGGCTGATAGACACATGAAAAGATGCTCAAACGTTGCTAATTATTAGAGAAATGCAAATCAAAACTACAATGAGGTAACACCGCACACTGGTTAGAATGGCCATCATTAAAAAGTCTACAAATAACAAATGCTGGAGAGGGTGTGGAGAAAAGGAAACCCTCCTACACTGTTGGTAGGAATGTAAGTTGTTGCAGCAACTATACAAAGCAATATGGAGGTAACTCAGAAAACTAAAAATAGAATTACCATATGATCCAGCAATCCCACTTCCGGGCATATATCCAGATGAAACTATAATTCAAAAAGATACATGCACCCCTATGTTCATAGCAGCACTATTCACAATAGCCAAGACATAGAAACAACCTATATGTCCATCAACAGATGAATGGATAAAGAGGATGTGGTACATATATACAATGGAATACTACTCAGCCATAAAAAAGAATGAAATAATGCCATTTGCAGAAACATGGATGCAACTAAAGATTATCATACTAAGTGAAGTAAGTCAGAAAGAGAAGGACAAATACCATATGATATCAATTATATGTGGAATCTAAAATATGACACAAATGAACCTATCTAAGAAACAGAATCACAGACATAGGGACCTCTCTGGTGGTCCAGTGGTTAAGATTCCACCCTTCCACTCCAGGGGGCACGGGATCGATCCCTGGTTTGGAAAGTTCTGCATGCCATACAGCGTGGCAAAAAAAAAAAAAAACTTTAAAAAGAATCACAGACATAGAGAACAGACTGCTGGTTGCCAAGGGGGAGGGAGGGCTGGAGTGGGAGGTTGAGGTTAACAGCTGTAAGCTATTGTATATAGAATGGATAAACAACAAGGTCCTACTGTATAGCACAGGGATCTATATTCAATAGCCTGTGATAAACCATACGGAAAAGAATATTCAAAAAAGAATGTACACATATATATGTATAACTGAATCACTTTGCTGTACAGCAGAAATTAACACAACATTGTAAATCAACTATACTTCAATTTTTAAAATGTGTAAATGTACCATCTTAGCATTAGGGAGATTGCACTGCAACACTTCTGATTTTGCCCTTCTTGAAGTGTGACTTTGTTTCTCCTCAAGCTCAGTTGTAATTTTTTTCCACTCATCTGTGACCCTTGTATTTCTTCCTTTAATCAACTTTTAAAGTGTTCAACAGATTCTTCAGTAAAATCCTTGCAAAAATGCCAACTACAGCTTTTTTCTTCTTTAAAAAATAAAAATAAAAAACTACAAAGGGAATTACCTTTCTTTCTCATACTAAGAACCATAAACCTAAAAGCCACAGTGAATCAGTATGTTGGAGAACTGATAAATCAATACATTTAAATTTGAGGGAAGTCAGTTGATCTTTGTTCTCCCACAAAACTGAGAAACCGATTTGTCTCTCATTAAATCAACTGTTAACCCACTAATTCACATACTTCTTTCATCCGCTAGAAATATTTATTTCAATCTTGCTAATTCCATGCAACCATCCTCTCTAGCTATTTTACTTCTTTTGTCTCTAAGAGGAATTCCCCACTGGATTGTTGAAAACTTTCCACCTTTGTTTCCCTTGAATGCGTTCTCAGATTTAGGAAAAAAAAAGTTCTGAAAAGAAGATAACCCTGATTTTTTAGAGTGAATAAAAATTTTCTTCACCCACAGTGGAAATCTTATAGTATTTTTCCCCAGAGCTATAAGATGGTGGAAAAGGAGTATTTTTTTTCTTATTTAGAAGTATTGAATAAAAGGTGTCAAAAATCTTACTTAGAAAATCTACCAACCAAGATTCAGTAGAAAATCCCAGAAAACTACAAAGAGGTTTAAAAAAAAAAATTAAGGGAAAGCCTCTTTTCTTGTAGTCTAATTTCTCTATTTACTTAAAGTTTGAATGAGTCTTTCTATTCCAGATCCTACAGTACAAAGACAGTTTATTAACCAGTGACACTAGGTTAGGAAAATATTTTACTCAAGAAAACAGATAGCCTTTATATGCCATATAAAAAGAGAACGCTGTTTTAGAACAACACTCAAATATAGCTCAGAGCAGAAAGTATTAAACTATATGTATATAGTTTAATACTATATATATATAAAGTATTAAAATCTATATAAGGAATTTATCAGATTTTCTGGAAAGCTGAGAGTTTTTCATATTTTTTTCTGATATGCTGTTTCCCTTAAATGTATTGGCTTTTCATCTCCTGCTGTTACATCTACAAGAAGTATCTTAAAGATATTCTTTTACAGTGCCTAAACACTTAACTCTAAAATTTTCTACTGCCACCTCCTCCCTGCTACTCCCAGGAATACACTCTAATTACTTACATTTAATGTTTTTCCTTCATCCATTTATGTATTTATTCAACAAGTATTAATTGAGCCCTTACTATGTGTCATTCCCTGGGTTAGGCTCTGGGAACGTCATGGTGAGCACAGATAGAGTCCCTGCTCTTATAGAGCTGAACATCTAATGGGGCATTCAGATATTAATCAAGTAATCACACTAATGGAGGTATAATTACGAAATAAGGTTCACTTTCTGAAAAATAAAGAACACAATCTTAGAACCCAAACAGCAGGAACCTCACCAAGACCAGAGGGACAGCCAGGTTTCTCACAGGAAACAAACCAAAACAACATCAAGACCAAACTTGACTGGACTGACAACACAAGATTTAATTTATTTTCATAATGGCATTGCTGTAAGCCAAGCAAACAGCCTATTTATTAATTCTAAAGGTAAGTAGAAGAAAATTTAATCTTGACCCTTTCCCCACCAAAAGTATTCCTTCTCAACTGAGAGGAAATATTTACCATCACTCATCTAAGCGATACATTTTACACGGTGCCCCCCGCTCTGGCTATTCCCATAAATTATCTAAGTGAGAAAAAAAGAGTTTTAAAAATCTCCAGCAATTTTTCATCATTTTGCTTCTCTGTCAAATGAATTACCCTCTTGAAATATTTTCTGTATATTAAAAAAAGATGCTTCATGGGTTCTTATTTGCAAACCTATTCCATAGATAATTGCTTTAGTAGATTCAAAATGTATTCTTTTTTGCCCCCTTTGGAAATCTGTGACTCTAGATCAAATTACTCCTCACTTAGGTTTCATTGAATGGAGTATATTAGATAATTTTTATTTCCAATCATTGCTTTATTATGCATTTTGAATCATTGTAAAGAAGATATTTCTTACATCAAAATTTTCCTAAAATATTTCTTACATCAAAATTTTCCTAAAACTCCAAATATATTTGGTTACTTTTCATTTGGTTGTTCTTTTCTTTCTTTTTTTTTTTTTAAGTAAAGGTTTGTCTTCATTTCTGTTATCTTACTCTAATTATCCCTTATCCTTATTTTAAATTCTGCTGGGTTTTTCCTTTATCTCATAGATTTTATCTTTTTGCTATCAGCACAGCATTTCAGTCCACAGAAATCACTAGGAATCCTAATTTCATAATCTGTCATTTTAGCTAAACCTCCTACTTTTGTGTGATCAACACATTTGAAAATAATTTCTTCTAAGCCTTCATTTAAAGCATTTATTTAAAATGTCAAACCATTTATAGGATATGGTAAGGATGGCTAAAAGAGAAAGGACAAGAACAAAGTAGCTCACTACACAACTCCAGTGAAAAGACAAATAAGAAAGAGAGAAAAATAAGAAAGAGTCCTATGGATGCAGTAATGACTTGCTCTGGGTGCACAGCTGGAACTCCAGCTTAAAAGAAGGGAAGGGAAAATGGAAAATAGATAGCTAGTGGGAAGCAGCTACATAGCACAGGGAGATCAGCTCGGTGTTTTGTGACCACCTAGAGGGGTGGGATAGGGAGGGTGGGAGGGAGGCGCAAGAGGGAGGGGATATGGGGATATATGTATATGTATAGCTGATTCACTGTGTTATACAGCAGAAACTAACACAACATTGTAAGGCAATTATACTCCAATAAAGCAGTTAAAAAAAAAAGAACTTATACTGAACTTATACT